AAAGAAACAATGTCATGCTCTGTCGATTTTGTAATGATTTTGTTTAAATGCGTTTTGTCTAATTTATACGCCGGTCCTGAGAGAAAAAAACCAACAGTGTATCGTACTGACATTCTCTTTAACAAAAAATAACTCAAACGAAATAATTTAAAATCCATTTATTTAAAAGTTATAATAATGATTTCATAGGAATATTTTTTGTTCATGCCATTTATTTTTGTCTTCGTAATATCTAAGAATTTATTAAACCATATCCAGTCAATATTACCTTAATTTATTCTTATTTTTAAATTTACTAGGTAAATATGGGTAATTTTATTGCCAATGGGCAAATACCTAGCAACATTAACATTATTATTAACATCATTATAATTATTATGATATCTATTATTAATGATGCTCTGATAATAATTGTGACATWGAAGTACATACTTTAGTGTTCAGAAAAAAATTCATTTCCGCCGTGTTGGTAGACCACAACTGCTCTGTACAGTGAGGTTCAACGCAGTGACATATTTACTGGACGGGTGACGGGGTGATACGGAGGATGAATTCCGCATGATCTTTTTTTTTACTTTTTGTATCTTAAGGAAATTTATGTTCAGTTAAGCATTTCTATAATATTATAGAAAAAAATTTAAAAACCCACTGTATTGATACTTGCAGTTGGTGTACGGTGTACCTATAATTGTTTAACTATGAGAACGCTACAACACATACTACATATTATATGTAAATTAAATTAAAACACGTTCATGCAGTATATATATACAGATTTCTTTGTATTAATCGTATACACAAAATTTTTACAGACCAACAGCTATAGTATCTAACGTCATTATCGTAATAATAATAGATTACAATTCTGAGAAAATAGACATGGAATATTCTAAATAGTAAAAGTATATTTATTATTTATACTATTTGTTGTGTACAATTAACAAGTAAGAACATATTGCACACCCTCATTGCGCCTATTCGTTTTTAGAACGTAATACGTTTATTTTAATAATCTAATAATGTTWGTWTTGTTATTGAACGTTTAGAGATAACTTGACATTTAAATTTTAGACTTTTGACGGTTGTTGTTGTAAATTATTGTGATATTATTGCAATTTGAGTACCTATAGTAAATAGGTATGTTAAATAGCAAAATATCTAATACCATATTATTATACAATATACATACTCATTTTACAATAGCAATTGTCTGTAATAGGTACCTAGTCAACATTTATCAATTCTTACATTAAAGTTTATGAATTATGATATTTAAATGTCACAGTTATAAGGGTGAATTGTGAAATATTACTAATATTTTTAAGCTATTAAACTACTATATTTTATATTTATAAAGTTATATACATAACAAAAATATATGAATCTCAAAAAAAAAAAATACTTAATTTGTAGTTTTTTTTAAATATATTCGCATTGCATATTTTAACATAATAATCTACGCATGTTTCAGTCTTTTATGCTGCATATTATTTGTATACATATAAGTGTAATAGTTTTTTCACTGCATTTTATCAGCGGTCTAATTGAAAGAAGTAAGAGATAACGATGACATAACGTCCCGGTTCACAGGCTCACAGCCTACATGAAATTAAGCTTTACTTCACAAAACTTAACGTAAGGGTAGGGAGGCAAATAAATAAAAAATTTGGTGTACGAACAGCAAAATGTAAGCTTACTATATAATATTAGTTTATAACTTGTTACTTGTAACGTAAAGGTATAACGAAGAGCAATATACATAGGAATTATCAATTATGTAATTTTGTTTTTACTCTGTTCAATATAAATATAATATAATGTTATACTTATAAGTGCTTAAATAACTACTTAAGAGGACGCCACACCCGCATGTGTTGTCTCCGTCTTACAAACGTATAACATAGCAAAATCTGTTGAGCGCGGGACAACTTTTCTCGCTCAATATT